AGACTCTTGTTAGTTCCCATTAATTTTAATACGAGTGGTGGTTTATTAGAAAATAAAAGCCAAAATTGAGTGCTGTTCTGTAGTTAGCATGAGCAAGTGACTTTGCAATGTTGTCAGCTACAATGCAGTCAAAGGAAAATAGTTTTAAGCTTATCCTAGACTTGTGCTAGATTTCTGCCACCTCTGCTCCCTAGGATTGGTTCTTGACATATATTGCAACAGTCCTTAATTGCACCAGGGCAGTGTGCGACTTACCTGGATGAAAAATCTGGTCCAATATCTCTATCCATTTTATTTGGATGAGTCTATTTGTAGGGGGGGTGTTGTTCCATACATTACCACACTTGGAAAAAATTACGCTGTTTTTAGGTTTTAGCTCCACAAAACTGAGTGATGCCTCTATTTACTTATAAAAGCACCCTTTGCTAAGGAGATTATGGCATTTATGGTAAAATCAAAGCTGCAGTTAAGATCCAGTAGATATGGAGAGTCTGAAGGCAAAAAAAGTGGATGCTATATTTTCAGAGGCAGGTTAGTTACATTGTGGGATTTATTTTAACCTCTGTTTATAAAAGTGCATTAAATTAGCCTCAGGGGATACCTTGCTAATAGACTTTGAAGAAGCGCAAGTCCTTTTGATTGGATATATGAATGAGAAGCTAGTAATTCTACACAGCAACTTCAAGGAAGCTTTCATGCATAAAAGGCAGCATAAAAGAAAGTGTGGAGCTGCAGGAGGCTTTGGGAGAAGTTTAGTGTACAGGAGCTGTACAGGAAAGCAGGTGCTGAAGTCAAGTTGGGAACAGTTGGGCAGGCCTCGAAGGTGTGAAGGTTGGTAGGTTTGAACTTTACCCTATTGGATCTCCTTCATGGAATTAGCCTGTACATATGACAGTGCAAACTAATGGGATTGGCATGAATGTTGTATGTGTCTTGTTGCTTGAAACAAATGAGTTCTTGAACTTGTGTAATTACATTAGAATAAACCAAGTTAAATGAGGGCCTTTATCTCCCACTTGTCAAAGCTGTTAGGAAATCCATTCTTACCCTGGTTGCAAATGTGACATACAAAGCACAAAGGTACCCCTCCAGATCCCTTTGCCCGTTTTCAGTTTCCTGGGCATGCCTTAATTCTAGACGTCTCTTGGTGTTATGTCAGAATAAGCTTTATGGTGTGCTGCACTTCTGTGTCTCTTGGGCATTGTAGACTACAAATCTTTCCACTTGTTTTCAAAGATAAAGCAATGACTGTGTTTGTACATCCCAGAAACTACATGCAGCTTCATCTGTCTTACAGGGGCTAGGGAAACAGATTATCCTGCAGGGGAAGAGGGCTCACAAGAAGCAGATTCCAGTCAAGTGGACAAGTCCTCTTTGTGTG